CCGCGACACCTTGGATTCCTTCGGCAAAACGGACCACTGCCGCAACCGACGCGTGCATCTCGACCGCCAGAGACCCGAACGAGAGCCACGAGCTCAATGAAGCAGCCGTGCTTGATGAAAAAACATATCGTTACCGCATGAACTTCCTGGTGGACGAGTCCTCAAGTGCAAAGGCGGGACCCAGATCATCGACAGGTTCTGGCAGCACTTGCGCGGCTTCATCAAGACCAGGAAGAGCTCCGTTGGCTCGGTGTCATTGAACGCCAGGGTCCGATCGGCCCAGTGGGCGTACTGGCATGCCAACGAGGACCTGTGGCTGGAGACTGGCAAGATGTTCAGCCGCTTGAGGGGGAAGTAGCTTGTAGACCGCAGGCTTAGGGGAGCGCGGCAGGGCGCTTATGAGTAGGCGAGGCCGCGCACGCAACCAGAAGCGCATTGCGCAGCAGAGAAATCAGATGTTCAGCCGCTTGAGGGGGAAGTAGCTTGTAGACCGCAGGCTTAGGGGAGCGCGGCAGGGCGCTTATGAGTAGGCGAGGCCGTGCACGCAACCAGAAGCGCATTGCGCAGCAGAGAAATCTTGAAGCTCACGAAACCTGGCCAGGCGTTTCTCCTGTCTCGGAGCTAAGGAAACTTTGCCAAGCGTGGTGTTTGGTTTCTCTCTAGTCTGGTGGCTCGCGATACCTGGAAAGTCGCTGGTTTTGATTGGTTTGCTGGTCTGGGAGGCATGAGAACCTGTGATTTCATTGGTTTTTCTGGTTTTTCTGGTCTGGGAAGCAGGAAAACCTGTGATTTCATTGGTTTTTCTGGTTTTTCTGGTCTGGGAAGCAGGAAAACCTGTGATTTCATTGGTTTTTCGGTCACAGGTTTTCCTTCCCCCCAGACCAGAAAAACCAGAAAAACCAATGAAATCACAGGTTTTCCTGCTTCCCAGACCAGAAAAACCAGAAAAACCAATGAAATCACAGGTTTTCCTGCTTCCCAGACCAGAAGAACCAGAAAAACAAATGAAATCACATGTTTTCTTTGCCCCCAGACCAGAAAAACCAGAAAAACCAATGAAATCAGAGGTTTTCCTGTTTCCCAAACCAGAAAAACCAGAAAAACCAATGAAATCACATGTTTTCCTTGCCCCCAGACCAGAACCTCTGTCCGAGTTCTCTGCGAGGTTGTAACGGTAGTTTTCTCGCATTTGAGCGGCTTTGCGCCAGCGAGGAAGGGGCGAGGAAGATACGAGGAGAGACAGACAACTCGAACGTTCATTTGAAAACCCACCAAAAGGTAGATCTTGGGGGGGGGTGCGACCATATATATATATATATATATATATATATATATATATATATCAAACAATGTACCAATGACATGTATCAATTTTCTGTTTCAGTATCAGTTTTCGATCGCGGATCGTTTTTTTTGTTGAAGCGTTTGTAGACGTTTCAATTAAATTGAGAGCGCAAGATGTCAGGGTCAGAGCAAACTCCTAGGTCTCTCGCACAGCTTTTGGAGCTCTTGCCAGACTTGCCAGTGCCGCAGGGCCCGCTCCAGAGCAACAGGAGCGCCTATAATCCCACCCTATGCGCTGAGGACCCCAGCAGACCTGGCATCGGTGGATTGTCCGCTCAGCGATCGCTGGCAACCTTCCTCCGCGACTTCCATCCTGGGTTGCACTACGCCTGGAGGCAGTTTTGTTTTGCCAATCGCGACAGAAGCGTCCCGGAGCCCAGGTGCGACGAAGTCTCCTTGCCCGACGAATTTCTCTCAGAGTTCCTCAGGGCGGTATATGGCGACTACATCCCGGACAACTGTCTCCCGCCCAGCCAGCGCTAGGAAGGTGAGCGCGCGGCCGCGGCGCGAGTCGTAGCACACCTGACCAACGGCGAGAAACAGAAGGAGTCCTGGAGGAATTATGCGGCGACTCTGGCCCCGGCAAGCGGCCTCATTCCCATCCGACATGAGATGAGTGCGCTGTCGAGTTTCCCACAGTGCCGATGCCCTCGCCCCTGCATCCATCACCTCCTTGGCTGAGTCCCCCCCACCAGGAGTGCTGATCATGAACGATGTCAGACCAGACACTCCCACGGCTGCCGACGCAGACAAATCCCAGGGCACGAGGGGGCCACCAGGACCCGCCCGACCACGCCGGCAAGGACGAGAGCGTGGAAGACGGCATCCCCCCTACAAAGGTGGAGCCTCCCGACTTCGGAGAAGGCGAGCCCCCTCCTCATTTTACCTGCTCGGACTCGGCCTCGGAGGACGATGATAACTGCCCGGGCGACGAGGCGCCTCAGCACAGCCCAACGGCGGACAGCTCTGACTCCAGCCGCGAGCAGGTCCCGACCTCGGCCGGGGACGACGTGCCCAACGCCGACCACGCTAGAGGTTCAGCCTGGGGACCCGCGGTGGACGAGAGCGCCCGCGACCGACGCGGCGCGCGGACCGAACGCTCCCCCGCGCCCGCCCCGCAGCTCCCTGGACAGAGGCCCTATCACCCTCGCCATGCAGGCGCGTCGGAGCAGGATGCACTCAACCTGTTGACCTGTCCGGAGGGGGGCGGCCCCATGTACAAAGTCTGGCTGGGCACGGTGGGCCTGAGGCGTCCCAACGAGACGCCCGCCAGACGCATAGCCAGACACCAGTCGGAGTTGGGCGCAGTCTTCTGCGCGCTGTGGACCGCGCACACGCAGCGAACTTGGCACCCTGGATCCAGGGCGCCCAAATCCGACCCGAAATTGCACACGGCCGCGTCCATCAATAAGTTTATCGATGACTGGAGGGCTGCGGGTGCGACGCCTACCTGATGAACACGAGGCTTGGCTACGGCATTGACTGGGACAGGCTACGAGCCGACTACCTGCGACACTCCCGTACCGACGGCAGGGGCAAAGGCAGCCACCAGCAGACCAGCTGGCGAGACAGCGCGACAAGCTCCTGGGGCACCTGGGGCAGCTGGCAGGGCGAGTGGAGTGATGGATGGCGCGACGATCGCTGGCAGACGGGCGGCAAACGCGGCGGAGGCCGCCCCGACGATCGAGATGATAGAGACGAAAAGAGGCACCGATGGAAGGACTGAGCTCACTCCCCACTCCCAGCGCCTATGCACCACCGCGACAACCTCACTACGCACTGCGCGCGGCCTTCAGCCGCTTTCTTACTCTCCAACCGCGGGGCAGCCCGACTGCCCCCCCTCTGGGCGGCACTCTTCCTACCTTTGGACCATGGTGCGCCGCGCAGTAGTACTATCTGCACCACTGCGTGATAGGGCGCAGCTCGCAGACCCTAGCTGGCCCCTGGCCCCGCTGCACTTACTCTTACCAGTGGCCGCCGAATCCTAGCCGTAGGGTTCCCGCTGTCCCTTCTTGTTGTGTTTTCACACCCTGGACATCCCCCTGGCGCAGCCTTGAGACGCGCCGCGGGCCCCGCTCGTTTGCGGCGTTCCGCCGCCTTCCCCCTGACACGCGCACCTCCTGCCTTTGGATTCAGGTGTGCGTGTCGGTAATACCGTCCACTCGGCATTCACTGTCGCAGGTGGACCTGTGGCCACCGGCCTTACTGTAGTTGTTGTCACCCGCCAGGCGCGGCCTGGCGCGCGTCTGTGGGCTCTGGCGGTTCGCCTGTCCATAGATTCGCCACCCCCTGGATTTGTCAACCTTTCAACGGCCTTCAGCCGTGCCCCTGGAACGAAGTAACTCTGAGGGACGCGTTTTGGGTATGCGACGGTCCCGTCCCTCGGGTGCTTCCCTACATGCGTATGTGTGGCGCTGAGTCACTTTGGTGGTGCACTCCCAGCTACTACGTGTTTCTACCGTGTGGCTTCGTGCACGTTGCTGTGCTCTAACCAGTCGCTGGTTCAAGGGCTCAGGCGCATCTCAGTTGTGGAAGGTTCTCTGGCTACGTTGTTCCCACTCCCTGGATGCGTGTTCTGACGTCACGACGGTCCGCTGCCGCCGTCAGAGTCTTCTTCGCTGGACTGTGTCACCAGTCGGTCTGTGTCTACCCGTCAGACTCCCTGGATCGACGTCCCGCTCGGAACCGTTCCCCGCCCGTTCTTGCTCGATGTGTTGGGAACGCTTTACGCGCCTTTTGGCTACGCTTTACGCTGTCAGACTCCCTGGATGCGCCGTTGCACGTTCCTTTCAGGGGCTGCCTTGCAGACTCCCTGGATATGCACGCTTTGGCTCAGACGCCCTGGGTCGCTGCTGCCTGCCGCCTGACCGCGGCCCCGCGCGCGCCCGCCCCCCCTTGTCGCGGCCGCGGCCCGACCGTGACCTCCTGCCGCTGGCGCTTCCGCCTGCGGCTGTAAAAAAAAAGTATACCCACCAGCCCGTCCAGAAACGACGCCCAGGCGAGTAGAGGGTCGTCCTGAGGGGCTTTTCGGCGTCTTGGGTGCCTCCGGGGGGCCTCTTTGGGCCGTTTGGGATCCTCTTGGGGGCCTCCTGGGGGCCTCTTGGGGCCATCTTGGGGCCATCTTGGGGCCTCTTGGTGCCTCCTGGGCGCTTCTTGGGGCCATCTTGGAGGAAATCGATCAAAGAAGAGGGGAGCTTCAATTAGCGCTGCCCCCTTCAAAAGGCCAAAATGGGGCCAAAACCTTAGTAAAATCAATGATTCTGGCTTCAAAGAAGAGGGGAACTTTAATTAGCGTTGCCCCCATCAGAAGGCCAAAATGGGGCCAACACCTTGGTACAATCAATGATTTTGGCTTCAAAGAAGAGGGGAGCCTTAATTAGCGTTGCCCCCTTGAGAAGGCCAATATGGGGCCAAAACCATAGTACAATCAATGTTTTTGGCTTCCTCGCCGAGGCCGTTTTGGACGTTCTGACCGCTCCCCGCCCCTCCTGTCCAGGTCAGTGGGGAGGGGGTAGGGGGAGGGGTAAACCCCTCCCCGAAGGGGAAGAGGGAGGGGTGGAAGAGGAAACTGGTTAAACCACCGATGCCCAGAGGGCTGGTGGGATTGCAGCAGCGGCGGCGGCGTGGAGCGGCTAAGGGAGGAGTGCGCGCCGCAGGACGTCTTCCTCCGCGAGCTCGTGTCCAATGCGGCCGACGCGTGCGACAAGAAGCGGTTCCTGGCGCTCACCGAGGGCGACGCGCCCCCCGAGGCGATGAAGCTACGGATCACGACGGACAAGGCCGGCCCTGCCGCCCACCCTCGGAGGAGGCAGGCGGAGGAGTATGATGAGGCCGAGGAGGAGGAGGAGGAGGAGGAGGAGGAGGAGGAGGAGGAAGACGAACAGTAGGGCTTCAGGGCCCATGGGCTTCGAAGGCCCCTTCTCTTGCGGGCCTCCAGGGGCCCTCCCAGGGCCCTCCCGGGGCCCTACAATGGGTCCTCCATAACTTCAGGAGGAGGAGGAGGGAGGAAGAGGCGGAGGAGGAGGAGGAGGAGGAGGAGGAGGAGGAAGAGGAGGAGGCGGAGGATCCATCCTCTCGGGATGCCTCCGAGGGCCCCCAGTCAGATGTTCGTTTCGGGAACCTTTCTGGGTGGCCACCTGCTGGGTCTGTTCGACTAAAGTTCGACTCTACCACGTCTTATCATCGGGTTCGACTTAAGGTCGAGTCGAGTCGGCGTACGATCGATGCAGCATCGACTCATGAGTGTAGCGAGTGGTTCCAGGAAGGTGCCCAGCACGAGCATCCGACCCCGCTTCCCCTCAGGTACTTCAGTGGCTCAGCAGGATCTCGAGGAGCCTTTTCGCAGTTTCATCAGAGCCTACAAGGCCCTCCAGGGTCAGAGGCCAGTTTGTTAGGGGCCGCGCGCTCAGGCCCTCTCATCCTTCCTTCCATCATCCCCCCCTTCCTCCCTGCTCGTTCCACTCACGCTCCCTCATTCCTTATCCTCCGGTTGCTCCTCCTTTCCTGTCTCCTCTCCGCGTTTCTCTTCGTTCCTCATCCTCCTTTCTCGGCACCCTCTCCTTCTCCTCCCTCCTATCTCCCCTCCTCATCCAGGTCATCCTCCTCTCGATCCTCCTCCCTCTCCTCCCCTCCCCTCCCCTCCCCTCCCCTCTCCTCCATTCTTCTCTCCTTTCCTCTCCTCTTCCGTCATCCATACCCCTCCCTCCTCTTCTTCTAAGTCTTCCTGATCCTACTCTCTCCTCCTCCTCATTATTTTCCTTGTCCTTCTCTCTCCTCTTCCAAACACAGTGGATGAGCACTCGCTCCATACACGCCATATGTGTCTCGTTGTCTTTGACAGTGCTAAGGTTTACTTCACTCCCAGCATATCGTTTGCCATCTCACTACTTGTTTCAAACCGCACTCTGGGATTTAACCACTGGGAGGTGAAGTTCCGTATCGGCGCTGGTCTTTTCGCGGTCGATAACGGGTTGAATTTGGGTTGTTCTGGTTTAATCTGGCTTACTCCCGGCTAATCTTGCTCAATCTGGTCTACTCTTGGGCTTCCTCCAGCCTTTGAATTCGGTGCAGTCGCCTGTAATCGTCCCAACGATTACCTCCAAGGAGTTGCGTCCGAACGTACTTACACGTAAGAGTAAATGGGAGTCGAATCAGGCTTGGCCAGGTCACGCAGCAATGGTTTCGCTCACGAATCCAGCTGCGCCAAGAAGAGCAAGACGGCCGAGGACGAGGACGTGGCAGAGGAGAACGAGGAGATACACGACGGCGGCGTGAATGGCAATGCTCGGGACGTGGTCTTGGTATACATGGAAGCTCGTATCCGCCGCCTTGAACTCCCCTCCTTCTCGACTGCGAGTGTCCCCAAGAACTCCACAGCAGTGGAATGCATGAACAACGCGTATCAGGACTACCTTCGCGCTCGCAAGGCGGAGCCACACAAGTCTATGGCCGGACCCGCGTCCCAGAGTTCTTTCGTTTTTTATCCGCTATCGAGAGCTTCAGCTTCAAGGATTCTTCAGACAGGATGTACATGGCCAGACGCCTCTGCAACAGGCTGTCCGTGATAATGAGCAAAAGCCAGCCGTACGTGATGGCAGCCTGGGTGCGCGAGGTGATCTGCGTGCCGACATACGATCGAGCGGGAGCGGATCCCAGGGTCGCATTACATTGTCATTGCACGGCGATGTTTTCATCTCACGCGTGTCGTGATCGAAGAGCAGTTGCTGAAGGCCGTAACGGAGTACCACAAACCCGATCCATTGTTTCAGATCAGCCCCCCCTTGAGATCCCCCACATAAGTGTTCGACATGAAGGGCATTCGGATTCAGGTTGAGCAAGTGGTTATGAGGTTATCCATGCCATGGGTGGCGATGTCGGGGGTAACCTTGCAAGGCAGATCGGGGGTATGAGTCGTGGACGTGGCAATGGCAGTTGACATTTCAGTTCGTTTACTGAAAAGTTGTTTCCACTGATTCCCAGCGGATTGGTATCTCACACGGCCTAATTGGTCTACTTTCAGCGCTTGTTTCTCGGGCGCTTAGCGGTTTTATGGCGGCGGGGTTGCGCCCCAAAGGGGGTCGGAGTAACATGTTGGGGTTGATTACCATCATATTGCTAAATGTGTGGTTGACTCTATTGATTTCTACCAATTGGATTGATATTTCAGATCGCTTACCGGGTGGCTGCCTCTACTCATATGTTTCAGATCGTTCAGTGGATGGCAGTCTCTACTGGTTCTAGGTCCAGTGCATTGATTTGTTCAGCATCTTCACGACGTGATGGGACTCGTGGCCGTTCTCGGCCACGCCCCCTCGCTGGGCCTCAAGACAGGCCGTGTAGCCTGCTTTGCCCAGTCTGTCTTCTGCCGCTTTGTCTCCTGTCCCTCATCATCGGGTCCTGGGTCCCAGTCGTCGCCGTGTCGGTCGCTCCTCGCCCCGCTGCAATCAATGACGCAACAAGTCGAGGGTGTAGCCGGCGAAATGACGACAGGGGCAGAGCATTGTCTTTGTGGCCCCAGCCTAGGCCAGAACTGTTTCCCATCAGTCACAAGCGGCCTTGAAGAGTTTGAGATCTGGACTGAATCTCTCCTCTCTTCCTTTTCCTTGTGCTGCCCCTTCTCCCTTACTCCCCATTCCTGCCTCCTCCCGTTGGGCTCTCATCGGGCTCCCGCTGGACTTCCAAGGGCCGCAGGGCGCCTGGGAGGTCTCCTCGGTGCTCCTGTGGGCCTCAAACATCTTCCACTGCACCCGTCTCCTGCTCCACCAGATGTTTTTCCCTGCTCCCCATCCTCCTTTTCCATTTCGCCCCCCCCCCCCCCCCACCCCCTACTTACCAGCGGGCGGTCCAGGATGCTTCCATAGCTTCATCCATCGTATGAAGATAGTGACGTGGTGGCCGAGGGAGGGTGGACATGATGATGCTCATCATGGTGATGGTGATGGTGCTGCCGATGATGGTGACTATGATTATGATAATGTCGATGATCATGCTGATGATGGTGGTAATGGTAAACATGTTGGGGCCGATGATGCTGATGCTGATGCTGATTCTGCTGCTAATGATGATGTTGATGATGATGATGATGGTTACGGTGATGATGTTGGTGGTGATGATGCGGATGCTGATTCTGATGGTTATGATTCGGACGTTGGTTCTGTTGATCGTGATGGCGGTGGCGGTGATGCTGACGATGATGGTGGTGATGCTTGCGATGCTGCTAATGAGGATGACGATGAGGCTGCTGATGGTGTGGTCGGATGGTGATGACGATGGGTGTTGTGGTTATGATGCTGCTGGTGATGTCGCTGATGATGATGATGATGCTGCTGATGATGATGATGATGATGATGATGGCGTGATGATGTTGAATCTGATTATCACTTTTATGCGATGCTTATAATGATGATGTTCATGCTGAGTATGATGCTGTCGATGAAGATCACGATGATGATGGTGATGGTGTTCTCGTTTATTTCCTATTAGGCGAAAGATGAAGGTGCTGATGATAATGTGTATATATGTATATGGGTGATGATGGTGTTATCATGCTCATATTGATGACACTGTCGCTGATGTCGGTTATGATGGTGGTGGTGATGATGATGAGGGTGATGATGAAGACGAGGGAGTCGAGCTTGAGGGTGGTAATGATGATGAGGGTGGTAGTGATGACGAGGGTGGTGATGAATATGGACCACGAGCTTGATACGTGAGCGGGGATACACTGAGAAGGAATACAGTGGTGCTGGTGACGGAGATGATGACGGTGATGTTGGTGTTGCAGCCTCTGCTTACGGTGATGTTGAGGATGATGTTGAAGACGACGACGATAATGATGATGGGTTGTGGAGGGAAACGAGGCGAAGGAGGAGGAGGAGAGGGAGGAGGAGGAAGAGGAAGATGAGGTTGACGAGGATGAGCTGGAGGATGAGGAGGAGGAGGAGGTCGGGGAGGGCGAGAGGCCCGGAGCAGGAGGAGCGGGGGGGATCTGGCAGAGGAGGTAGAGGAGGTACAGGTGCAGGGCAGGTGAAGGGGAGGTGGAGGATGATGATGCGGATAAGGACGAGAATGGCGAGGGTATAATGTTGGGGAGGATGGTGTGGAGGAGGGGGTGGAGGCGGCGGAGGAGGGGGAGGAGGAGGATGACCACGGGGATGACTCTCATTACTTCGAAGCGGAAGCCGGACACCAGAAGGAGGAGGAGATCCCAAAGGTCTCGGGAGTGTCCGGTAGTGCCAGGAGGCTCCTGGAAGTTAAATGCAGGCCCTTGGAAGATTCAAGTGTTTCAGTGTTCTCGTGAGTCTAGGATCTCCCCTCCTCGAGCAGAGAGGATCGAGGATTGAGAACCCTCGATGCTCGATGCTCGAGGAGGGGGTGGCGCCGCAGGAGAAGCGCACGCTCACCATTGAGGACAATGGCGTGGGCATGCAGAAGGCAGAGCTGGCGGCGAGCTCGGGCCGCCTCCTCACGCCGTGGTGCCTCCTGCGCCCGTCTTCCTGCTGTCTTGTTCTCCTCGCTCCTCGTTCCCCCTCCTCGTTCCTTCTCTTTCCTCCTCCTCCTCCTCCTTCTCCTGTTCGCTTCTCCTCCTCGTTGCTCCTCTAAATCTTCGTCCCTCCTCGTTCCTCCTTCTTCTCCTCGCTTCTCCTCCTCCTCGCTCCTCTTCCTGCCTTTTCCCTCCTCCTCCTGCTCCTCCTGCACCTTCCTGCTCCTCCGACTTCTCCCTCGAGGTTCGCCCCTCGACTCTTGCTTTTTCTCCCGTTGCTCCTTCTTCTCCTTCGCCTCCTCCTCCTGTTCGCTTCTCCTCCTCTCTGCTCCTCTTAATCTTCGTTCCTCCTCGTTCCTCCTTCTTCTCCCCCTCTCTTCCCCTCCTCGCTTTTTCCTTCCTCCTCCTCCTCCGCCTTCTCTTCTTGCACCATCCTGCTCCTGCTTCTTCTCCCTCGAGGTTTGCCTCTCGGCTCGTTCTTTTTTCTCCCGTTGCTCCTTCTTCATCTTCTTCGACTCCTCTTCGTCCTCATTCGACTCCTGTTGGCTACTTCTCTTCCTAAAGCGGAAGAGGCGCACGGGTGACGGCGAGGGAGAGGAGGCGTCTGGCTGCCGGACCCCCAGGACAGCGGCAGAACAGTGTGTAGTCAGGGCTCCGTGCCTCAGGGCAGTGTCCAGTTCGATTCGATCGATCCGATACGATATCATTCTCGGCCAGCTCGATTCGAATCGCGTCCGATTCCCCTTGAAGATTCCGATGTGGCCCGATGCCCACATGGCGCCCGCAGCCGTTTCGATCCGATCTTGACTCCGCGCCGCAGCCCGACCCGTCCTCTTCCGCTCTGCCGATTTTCCGATGGGATGCTCAATCATCTTGCAAGGGAGCAGTAGGCATTCGGGGGACGCCAACTCTTCTCCTACACAGATCCTCATGCCGATCCCGAGCCCAGGATTGGTGCACACCCCGTCCTGCCTTGGCCAGGAATGCATACGCCGATCCTGGGCCCAGGACCGGCCTGGCCAGGTCCTTCCGGGGCCCTCTGTTGCCTGGCGGCCCATCCCGCCACCATCCCTCTCCCCCCACGCGCCCTGCCTCCAGCCTGCGTGCCCCTCGCCCGGCCGCTGGTTGGCAGCGCCCTCTGCGAGCACGGTCAACCTCGTCGAGGAGGCACTGGGAGTCACGCGGGCGGCGGCTCAGCAGCCGTGGACGAGCGCCCGAGCCGCCGCCGGCCGAGGTGGAGAACCTCGGGCGCATCGCCCGCTCCGGCACCGCCAACTTCGTGAAAGAGCTGCAGTCCGGCTCGGAGGGGCCGCGGCCCGCCCGGGCGCGAGGGGCGAGGAGGGAAGCAGCCGGCTCTTTTGGCACTTGTCCTCCCGGCGCAGCGAGCGCCACCGGGGGGGGAGGGAGTCGGGGCCCCCCAAACTTGTTGGGGGTCTGCAGGTCTTTCCGTTGATTCCTGGTGGTTTCCCTGCCTCGGGAGGCGTTCCAGCTGCTTCGCCTCGCCAAGAGGTTACGGGGCTGTCTGGATCGTCCCGAAGGGCCGCCGGAGGCCCGAGTTATGACCCGAAAGCCACCAGGCGCCGCAGATGCCGGGGGCTCCCAAGCAGTACGGTGACCACACTGTGTGGCGAGTCAGTGGAGATTCGGGGTGACCGCACGGTTTTGGGACTTGTGTATTTTGTTTGAGGATGTCTCGGGCGGCGGGGACCTCCATGGTCCCCAAACCGTGCGAATGGAGGGCCGCGCGGAATTTTGTTTGTTTGTCTTCGTCACCACGGCTGGGCCCGCATCGAAAAACGGGCTAGGATGGATCCCCGGAGGATCCCGCGGGCAGATTGGCAGCGGATTTGGGCTGTGTGGGAGAGCATCGAGGAGGAACATATGAATAAACATGCTTTTTCAGAGCTCCACGTGGATTTCGTGGATCGGCGCTGCCCCCCTCGTTTCGGCAACTTCGAGCGCTCAGCCACGGGACAACAGCTGGACAACCATTGGACAACCACGGGGCAACCACGGGACCACTGGGGAGAACCGTTGGGATACTCATGGAGGCGTCTGTGGGACCGTCAGGACAGCTCCGGGTCAACCTCGGGACAACCTGAGCCTTCTGCCCGGCGTGGATCCCTCTCGACCTCGGGCAGTTTCCCGTCGCCCGCACGCACAGCACGCACGTCACGCGCGATACGAAACGATCTATAGGGATATCGATTTATCCGCCCCCCAACTTCAAGTCATCTCGCCATTTTCGTCATCGCGCACGCATCTTGTTCCTCCCACCCCTGCTGACACCCTGACCCTTCCGCGTCCTCCCGACTTTCCTGACACTCCGTCCCTGAGGAGCATTGTCCCTTTCACAGCAATTAACAGCAATGTGTATCCGGTATCTCTGGTTCGCTCTGGTCTATGTAGCAGCTGCTGAGAAGAGGGAGGACGACGTGAGCCTGATCGGCCAGTTCGGCGTCGGATTCTATTCCGCTTTCCTCGTTGCGAACAAGGTTGAGGTCTGAAGCCGTCGTCATCGTCGTCGTTGCTATGTGGATAGGAGAATGAGGATGGAAAGGGGTGGTGGTGATGATGGGGAGGATTGGTCAGGCAGGAAGGGGAAAAGGAGAAATATGCAGGAGGGGCAGTGGAAGGGAGGAAGACGAGGGGGATGGTACTATGGAGGGAGGAAGGAGGAGACAAAGGAGGAGGAGGTGGAGGAGGAAAACCAGTTTAAACCCATTGCACATCAAAGATGTCTCAGTATATCCGCCCTCCAGGTTCTCCTTTCATGTGTCCTTCTGTATCTTCATTGTGGGATGTGCCCCATTGGAAGACACCGCCTGAGAATCCACAGTCGTGCCCAAACGCGATTCTTTGAACATCAACGCCACGAATCGACGAGACTGCTGCGTCCTGACATTCCTAAGTCGTGCCAGACTACCATGTCCCGGCACTTCAATACAACGAATTCGTGTGACTGTTGCGTCCTGACAATCCCAGCTCGTGCCAAAGCACCACTCCTGGGACTTCAACAGTACGAATCCTTGAAACGGCTGCACATTTCGCCACGCCTGTGCGCGGCCTTTCAGGCGAGCGTAATATTCTAAGAAGGAGCCGCCCTCCATCCTTCACACCGTTGCAGACGCTTAGGTTCGAGAGCCACATTTTGAGCACGACCCGCCCTCCATCCTTGAAGCTGCTGACAACGTTTGGATTGAATGTGCGCAGCGCTCGGGCAAGTGCCACATTTTGCAATAGAAATGCCTTCCATTCTTCAACCTGGTGCAAATTCTTGACGCTTCGCGTATCCCCATGTGTCCTGCGTGGATGCGTTTCTGATGCTGCGACGGTTCGTTGGCGCTGTCAGAATCACCTCCTGCTGGACGACGTCACCAGTTTCTGTCTGCTCATACCCGTCAGACTCCCTGGATTGACTTTCCCGCACGGAGATCGTTCCCTACCCCGCGGTTGTCTCGACACGATCACGGCCTGGAGCGCACTGCGCGCCATTTTGGCCGCGCCTGGCTCGCCCGGATGGCTGACCTGTCAGACTCCCTGGGTTGCAGCTTGCACGACCGCCTCAGGTGACTGACCTTTCAGACTCCTTGGGATTGCACGACCGCCTGGCCTCTCAGACGCCCTGGGTTGCCGCTGCTTTGCCGCCTGATCCGCGGCCCCGCGCGCGCCGGGGAATTTAGTCGCGGCCGCAGCCCGACCGTGACTGCTCGCCGCCGGCGCTTCCGCCTGCGGTTGTAACAAAAAATATCCCCATGTGTCCGTAGCCACCGGCTCAAGCCTTGGCTCAAGCCACTGGCTCAAGCCGTCTCGTTTCGAGGTTGGTCGGCGCGACCTGGGTCCGCCGCCACCGTGCTGCGGCTTGCCATGCCAGGGGATGTGGGCGCCGCGCCTGCCGGCTCCGCCGCCACGCGCCGGCGCCGCCGCCTTCGGCGCGCCGCTGCTGCGCGCGCGGCTGCCGCCGCCTTGCCGCCGCCAGGCCGTTCCTGGCTCCGCGGCGAGTGCGGCGGTCCTGCCGCGGCCCGCGGCCGAGGCGGCGCCGCGCCTGGCGCCGCGCCGCCCCCTGCTGCCGCCACCGCCTCGAGGCCGCCTCGCCGGCCGGCGCGGTCGGCCTCGCGGTGGACGCGGCGGCTGCGGCTGCCGCCTGCGCCGATGCCGCCGCGGTCGCGCCTCGCGCGGCTCTCTGGACGGCTGCGGCCACGCTGGCGCAGGCCGCTGCCTTCGCGGCCGGCGCCACGATGGCCGCGGCTGGCGCCACCTCGGCCGACGCGGCCGCGGAGGACGAGGACGAGGACGAGGTGGACGAGGACGAGGTGGAGGGCGTCGTGAAGGTGGATGTGGTGGGCTCCTGGGACCCTGTGGGCTCGCAGCAGCTGGCAGCGCGGAGAACCTCGCCGATCGAAGGACCGACGAGTATCGGATTGTCAAAGACACTTATGCAAACCAAGCTCCCGGCAATCCTGTGTGTCCAGAACAATGCGCGGAGGGGTGCCAGCCAAAAGATCTCGATACTCACAACGACGTCTCGGAACATAGCAGAAGCAGCAGCTGCAACGTGCCACCCCCCGCTTCGTCGACAGATGATGACGTCCCAGGGGGGAATCGAGAGGTGGTTGAGGCAGAGGTCACGATACCACCCCCCGCATCGTCGTCAGACGATGACGTCCCAGTGGGGAATCGAGAGGAGGTAGCCTGCAGTGACAAGTGTACAGCTCACACTAACGACCCCCCCTTCAGCAGCACCATCAGGCCAGAGGAAAGGAGCGGGAAGTCATGGCGGAGACGGCGGCGGCTGCGGAAGCGGCGGGGTATCCCCCTCAGGACAATCAGTTCGTCAACAGTCCTCTGGGAGAGCCACGCACCCTGCAGGGGGGGCCACGGAGCACCCGCCCAGACGCAGGACATCGAAGCCATCTGCTGGCTCGTCGGGAGAAACCTCTTCGCGCCTATTCGCCCCCCTTCCTTGTCAGTGAGCTTCTTATGGACAGCGAACCCCAGGCGCCCTCGTCAGGCGTCCAGGGCACCACTGGCAAAGCATCTTGCGCCCCGGCCATGGAAGCTGCGCCGCCGAGTGTGCGCGCGCCCGGCACAACCAGTGGTGCCCCAGAGGCCGGAGAGAGCCCCGCGCCGTCCAAAGGGGGCGCACCTGGGAGCGACGGCGGGCACGCGCCCGAAGGCGAACGTCAGCGAAAGGGGGCCCCTCCCCACGAGCCACAAGGCTGCGTCTGCCCTGGCCGCCCGACGCGACCCGACCCCAGACTGGCGGCCAACCGTGCGTCCTGCATTTCCCCGCAAAACCCTGCCAGGCGCGCAGCTTGAGCTGTCGCGAGCAGATCGCGAGCCCCCCAGCCAGGACAACGAGGCCCGTATGGTGGAGACTTGCGGCCAGGATACGCGGCGGCACCAGAGGCCCGACCCGCGTCGATGGCCAGAGCCCAAGGACCCCGACACGGGACAACAGCTGTACAAAACAGGAATCAACAACATCCAGTGGGGCCTCCCCGGGGAGACACCCAGCGAGGCGATGCGACGACTCCAAGTCACACTGGGGCCGATGTTCACGGGCACCTTGCGCGCTCTCGCCAAGCGGCAGTCTGTGCCCGGCAGCAAGGGCGCGCTTGACCCGCCTCGGCGCGACCCAAAAACCTGCCATTTCTTCTTGGAATCCTTCCGCAGCCACGAGTGCGACGCACGGGTCCTCAGCGACGCGCTGGGCCTCGACGTCGACTGGGCCCGGTGGCAGCTGCGCCTGGGTCGGAGCGGCGGAGTGAACAGTGATCACCGCGCGGCAAAGGGCCGCCCGAACCACCAGGCCCTCAAGGAGCGCAAAAAACAGTGGTGGGCCGTCCCCCCACAGTAGCCTCGCCACCCCCCTCGTGGATCGCAAACGCGGGGACCTGGTGCGTGGAGGGCGGTCACTGGCAACGGGCGCGTCGCTGCCCTGCAGAGAGTTTGTCTCGCGGCGATTAGCTGCGCCCCCCTCATGCGCTGATGTTCTAGGCGCGCAGCTGCTACTATGTCACTCGGATGTCCAATCGTAGATGGGGCTCCTGCAGGCGCACTCTGCTGGCTCACGCTGTGTATGCAGCATCGCACTCGTGGGGATCAGGTGCGAGAAGGATGGCCTCTGACAGCAGGCCCGTTGCTGCCCTGCGCGCCCTGCGTCGTGTCTCGACTTCTGTTTCGTTCAGAACTTATACCTCTTCATCTTGGCTGTTGTCTACGTTCTGCGTGTGTGGCTATACCGTCGACCTCAGTATTTGTTTCCTCTGTCTGCGCGCTGCTGTTGTGGCTATGCCATGGGCAGTCTGGATTTCCACCCTGAGATTCACCTCCTCAGTTGACTACGAGTCGTACGCCGTACTCATCAGCGCGATTGGGGGTCTCATTCTTTCTCCCTCTTGGTTCCGACGAGCTGTTGTCGGACGTGCCGCGCAGCTCCATGGAACACGCCGCGCAGTTCCAACGACTTCGACGACTACGCCGACAACGACGACGACGACGACTCCGACGACGTCGACGCCGACGCCGACCATGGCTCCAACGACGACGGAATCGACCTCGACGCGTAAAGAGGGCGACGGCGACGAACACTGTGTGGACTCTGCGACTGGAGCGTGAAGGTTGGCGTGACCCGCGGGTTCTCCTGTTGCTTGCATCCTGGCGCCGGGCTCCCTGGGGGGCCGGTGCTGGCCCCGGGTCCGCCCTCTGTGGCGCTGGTACTCTTGCATCCCGCTTCCGTCGGTCAGCGGGGTCGCCTACAGAGTTCAGCGGCCACTGGCTGCGCCCCCTCTTCCTTATCATTCACAATGTCTCTGCGGCTCGTGGCTGCGCCCCCCACCGGACTCATTCGCAATGGCTCTGCGGCTCTCGGCTGCGCCCCCCATCTTGTTCGTCAAGATTGCGCCAATCACTGCGTGTCAGGCAACTGGGCGCACCCTCCGCGCCTCGTGCTGTGGCGGTGCTCCCTCCTCCTCCTCCTCCTCCTCCACCTCCTCCTCCTCCTCCTGCTCCTCCTCCGCTTCCTCATGCGCAATGTCTCTGCGGCTTTTGGCTGCGCCCCCCCCGTGCGAAGACTGCCGCGGCCGCAGAGGTGCGCTCGCCCTGAGACCGGCCTTGGGCGCCCTGGTCCCTCGTTGTCGATTCCGCTTTTGTTCCACAAGGGCGCCTTGGCACGGGAGCCGTGGTCGAGAAATTCCGTGCATGGAGGCCCAGGGTAGCGCCATCTGTGTCCAGCGGCTTTTGGCTGCGCCCCCGCCCTCTCATTCACTTGTCTCTGCGGCTTTTGGCTGCGCCCCCCTTCTTTCAACAAGGTAGAGAGCGCCGAGTGGCGCAGCCTCCCGCGGTCCATGTTCGTTCGCTCTTTTCGGCGCAGCCACGAGCATGGAGAGGGTATTTGCGACGAGGGGCGCGGGGTGATCTTCGGCTTCTACTGCGGCGCTGCGCAGTGTGGCCGCAAGATGTTCGTCTGCGCCGACTGGAAGCATGTGCCGTCAGCACCGACGAC